CCCGGAGACGACAAGATCAGAAGAGAATAAAAAAGAATAATGGAAAGCACAATAAGTTAAAATATCACTTCATCAATAGACCCACAACAGAAAAACACCAATAAAGTGGTAGCCCAAAAAGCAAAGGGTAAAACTAGGGAATGGAGAAGAAAAAGAATGTAAATTAACAAGAGAAAAAAAAAAGAAAACGAAACAAACAGGAGAACATAGAATAAAATTAATGACAAACAAGCAAACATACGGAATACGGAGTGACTAAGTAAAATTATAAAAGAAACGAGCAGCAACCCAACAATATGGAAAAACAATGAGAAAACTGTAAAGGCAGAAAAAATACATAAAGAAACGAACAAAATAAAAAAAGAAAGGAAAAGGAAAGCAAAGAAAAGAAGAGAAGGAAAGAGACAAAAAGAAAAGGAAAAGGAAAAACAAGGAGAAGAAAATAAAAGAAAAGGAAAGACAAAACAAGAGAAGAAAAGAGAAGTGAATGGAAAAGAATAGAAGATAATAAAAGAAGATAGAATAAAAGACAATAGAGAAAAATAGACGAGAATAGAAGTAAATAGAAAAGCGAAGTAAAAATACTTACAATAAAATCAAATAAATTATAATATAATCAAGAAAAAAATAAGAAAGAGAGAAAAGGCCAAATAGAACGCAAATTATATAAGGAGAAATAATAAAAGAAAAGCTCACATAAAAAAGTAAGACTATTTTTAGAAAAAATAGTTTGTGAAACTATACCAGAAGTTCTGATGGACCACAATCTACAATTACGGCACGCATACAAAATTGAAATTACCAGAAGCAACTTTTACAAAAAATTCTAAAGGCTGGAGAGAAAACATACCTCAAATGCCACTTATTATTGCTACCAAAGTTATAACAAATACTTTGCCAAAAAGTACAATTTATCTAACTATTTATCTATTTTCTGTCAGATATATATATTCTGTCAGAAAGTATATATCAGACTATATTAATAAATAATACTTGCAGTCTCAAAAATAATTATTTACGAATAATTAAATACAAGAATTATTTCCAAGACCACTGATGATGGGTATTTGGCAATACTCGAAACGGCTGTATGGTCAGCCAAAAATTCAATTAATTAAAATAATATAAAAAAAAAAAATTTTTGTTGTTCTATTTCACTACTGTTCGAAAAAACCTCTTTATAAATAAATAATACTATTTATAATATAGTAAATATAACAGATATTAGGAAATCTAACGCCACCGTAAAACATTATTGAAATAGTGTTTTTCAAGCAAACTGTTGGGAACAACAAATTTTTAAGAAATAAAGACAACTATGTAAAATCTAGGGTAATATGACCAAAACTTGATAAGCAAAAGTTCATTTTCGGCCTGTACTCAGCTGAACAGAACGCACAAGCTTAAGATTGTGCCTTGTATAATCATTCACTGACTATTTCTTAAGCAAACATGTCTTTAGCTCTCTCACTGCGATATCCAGCGCTTATATTTAAAGTACCCCGCGCTCTATAAAAACCTTAAAATTGTTCTATAAGTTATATAGCTAAGGTCCTGCATAAAGCAGTTATGTCAAATGGAAACTTAGAGCTTAATTGAATTGGTGAACTAAGCTGACTCAATAACAACAACTCAAGCCGACAAAGTCACATTAACATATCCTTGTCTAAGGAGTTCGACGCAATTAAAATCAAAAGCAAGCTATGTCTTAAGAAGATTTCATAACGATTTATTGCATTTCCGCGTAAATGTAAGCTAAAAAGGCTGCAGATGCCTGTTTCTAATATTCATGCCAAGAACGGTGGTGTTCAAACTACATCCTTCAAGCTCACTCTTTGCCGACCAAAATGATCCAACAGTATATTGAGCAAGAATTCTGTCCGAATAAGAAATCGGGTAATCGAGATTGTGATAAACAAACATACTACCAGACTGATATCTCTACGGAGTATCTCAATAAAAGTTCTTATGAAATTGCAATGAGTTCTTTACCTGCAGAACTCCGTCTGAACTTGTCTGCCTTGCAATCGTCGAAAATATCTTCATGAGAAGCAACCCAGAGTTGAAAAGTTTTAAACTGCGTCGACATGTTATTAAAAAATATGTAGCAATCTAAAAAAAATTCTTTAATGTAAATTGGACAAAACTCAAGGACTTCAAAGCAGCTTAACTAACTGACACTATGTTTATATTTCAATTAAATTTTTTATGCACTTTCAGACGAGCTGTAGTTTTCCTAATAGTGAGATTGTTCGCTGTAGTAACTGATATGAAATATCTCATCGTCCTTTTCTCACTTCATTTTTTTGTCTAGAAGACACCATTTTAAATGTTGTGCTTGCCAAAATATTTAGTAAGATGGGAGTAAGCAGTTACTTGAAATAGTAGTAGAAGTAGTAGTTACCATAAGATATTCCGTAGTAATGATTGGACTTTACTATATGCCTAGAAAGTATTGTCTTAAATTTTTTTCATCCAAAGTGGTTCATTGCTTGAGTAGCAGAAAATATAAAAGTAGGAGTAAAGGAATAGTAAGAGTTGTAGTATTATAAGTAGTAATTTATCTCTTTTTTCTTGTCCATCATATCACTTGTCTATTCAGAATCTGTTATTGGATAATGCATCCGTATACCGTAGAACACTGTAGCATGGTTTCTATACCTTCCGGGTCACCATGGACTGCGTTATCACCTTAACAAAATGGGTCTGTCCGAAGAGAAAGATAGTCGACTCTGCTTAGAAGCAAATGAGACTTCTAGTTACATTCTCTGTGACTGCGCAGCCTTGACCTGGGCCAGGAGGATGTCACTAGGTCGAGAACTATTCTCCCCTCTGACATTAGTAGGTCCTCAACTATTGACATACTGGCTTTCATTCGAAAAGGGAACAGGCAGAAGACGTCTGTTAAAGCACAAAAGATCAACTATGGTTGCAGTGCTTCGCTTCGTTGGGAGCTGGTACTTTGTTTATATCTATTTAATTTAAATTCTATACCTTTCCTTCTGATTATACTCAATTGTACTAATTTTAATTATTTTATTTCTCTGTTTATTAGCTATTTATAATTATTTATTTTTAGGATCCATTTCTAGAGGCTTTTACTCTAATATTAGCACTGCAGGAAATTTTGCTGCGTTTCTGTCAATGCCTATACGTGCTTTGTATACCACTACATATGAAATTTTATATATAGAAAAGAAAACACATTTTAGTATCGATTAAATTTAATTGAAATGAGAAAAAAATATTATTAACTGAAATTTGTGGAAATTCATTAAAGTCCTTTTATTGTCACACACATTAAAGACGCGCACAGCCTGTGCTCTAACCAATGACCTGCCATAATTTTATAAGCATTTTGTTAACAGTTTATAGTGTGGTGAGTTTGTTACTAACATGGGTACAGTTTGGAGAATTTACGTTGAATGTGTTGAATTTGTTGAATTTACGTTTTGAAACAAGTTTTATAAATGTTTAATGATTTATTTTATATTTAACTATTTAATTAATTACTTGTGTTGAGTAAAAGCAGATATTGTAATGTATTTAAGCGTCTTTTAGTTTAGCTAAATAAAGAAATATAAATTCTAATTAATAATAACAATTTTGGGAAGAAGCAGCACGGATGTTGTCCAATTTGTATTTAAATTTGAATTGAGTTGCTGCTGTTAGCGAATTCTGCCGCCCAACAACAGGCGAGGACAGAACAGGCGAGGCAAAAAGTCTTAATCACAGAATTGTTACAATTTGTATTTATTTTTGCAACCCTTTTTTCTTAGTTTCTGTGGAGCAATGCAAGCGGAGCATTGGCATTATTGTTTTTGTTTTTGATTTTGTTTTTAGTGCGCAATAATCGCTTTTTTGTTTTTGTGATGTTATGAAATATTCGCATAACTGTTGCACACAATGTATTCAGACGACGACGCCGACAACATTAAATGATATTCGCGTTTATTCGTTGAATCAGCTTGCATCCGCTGAACGCACATTCGCACACACACGCGCATACCCAAACGCATACCCATACACACGAACGAACAACACCGAACACCACATACACTAACTATCAATCAAATATGAAATTAGCATTTGCGCTTAGTGAACCTTACTTGCGTTGCTCTTCTTCTGTTCGTAGCTGTGGTTAAGCTTCGTACTCGTATTCAAGCTACGATGAGTACATCGTGGTTCAGCTCGTGCCATAGCATTTCTGCTTGTCGTTAAACTCTACACCACACGATATAACTTAACAGTGCTGGAGCTGTCTGCTTAACTTAATACACCACAATTCACCACACACACGATGCCTAACTCAACCTGCATGACAGTAGCGCAAACGAACCTGAACAGCAGTGAGAAAGACGAGCACTCGTAGAGTATGTGAGGACGATGTGGACGATGTGAACGTATTGTGTACGTTTTGGGTATTGGGTATTGTGGGTGAGCAGCAGCAGGACGAAGAAAATGTACATCGTTTTCATTTAGTCATTGCGTTCGTTGTGCTCGTTGTGCTCGTATTTTGCTTGATACTTTCGTTGCTTTCGTTGCTGTTGTTGCTGTCGTCGACTGTTGCTATTGCTTGTACTGTACGTGCTGTACTAGCGCTGGTGCTGGCGCTGTTGCTGTTGATGTTGCTGTTACTGTCTTATGCTACCAATGCTACCACAACTCACCGCACTGCACAATTGCGATTCGTACCAGTGTCAGTGGTGCGTGCTTCGTTGCTATAAAATTGCATGTCACTGCGCTCATCGTATCAGTCGTCGTGGCACTTTGAAAGCGAGTGGTTCTAAGAAGAGAAGTTGTCGGTGCTCTAAAATCAAACAAAAATTTCAAATCAAAATATTTTAACAACAGAATACCAACAAAAATTCATTACTGTTTTTTTAGTGTATATTCTTCTTCTTGTTTATTATCAGTTCATTTTGATAATTTCATTTTTTATCATTTAAAAAAAAATTACAAATTACAAAAAAAATAATAAATAAATAAAAATTAAAATTAAAATAACGGAAAATTTAACGGTTTTAACGTTCAAATCAAATTCAAAAGTGCACTGGTTCGACTTAGTAAATTTAGTTTGGAAACAGATGAGCTCAGCTCAGAGAAAGTGAAGAAAGTTGAACTTTTGACTGATATTGATAGAATTTTCAATATTTAGAAGAATTTCTAAAAAATGGACAAAGTCTTTCCTGATAAAGCAAGCAATACGACTGACTTTAGACGGAAGACAGAGCAAACACAGAAATTTTAGAGTTTGATAAAGATTCTGACCGAAACCGAAGACGGAGTCAGAGCCAGAGTCAGAAACATAGACGTAGACGTAGTTGGCGACTAAGCCATAGTTTAAAGTCTCAGTCAGAACCAGTGTTAGCACAAATTTTTAACAAAAAAAAAATTCTTGAGAAGAATACAAGAAAATATTAATGAAAATGCTAGAAGTTAATAAAGAAAGTAGAAAGCGTCGAAAGTTCTTAAAGACAATCGCCATAGTGAAGAGTTCATTCGACTCTGAATGTGAACGTTAATGTGTAAGTGAAGAACTCTAATATGAATGTGGATGCGACTTGGCTCAGTGATGGCCTGGTGTCGCTCTTAATATTAAACGGTTTTTAATGGATTCACTGCTCTTGTTTGCTGTGAAAGTGATTTCGCCTTTGTGTGATTGCGTTTTTGTCACTACATCTGCAGTGGTGTAGTGCACAGCCACAGTCACTGTGCCAGTCACTGTACCAGGCCAGTCGCTGTGATTGCAACTCGTTTGCCTTTTCACTTTTCGACGACTGTGTTCGTGGTAGGGTTGTTGCCATTGTGCACTTTATTGTCTATGGCGAAGGCACTGATGTTCAACTTGAAATTGAAATTGAAATTATAGTTTAAGTTGAAGCTTGAAGTTGAAGTTAAAGTTGCAATTGAAGTTAAGTAGTGAATACAAATTCCAATCAAGTGAAAATGTCATTCTCGCTAATGCAATCGACTTAATTGCCGCAATGCCGCAATGCTGCTGCTGACTTGGATAAAGGCAAAGTATGTTTCAAACTCAAAATTATTAAATTTACCATCATTTTTAGCTAAGTAACTTTTCCATTTAGTTTAGTACAGTTTTAGTTAAGCAAAATTAAGTTTTCCGACTTAATTTTAGTATTATAGTAGAGACACGAGTACGTATGCCTTTGCCGAGCTCAACTTAACTGTTTTACATTGCTCGGCCAGTAGCAGCTGCTCACTTATAACTACGGATCTGCATTATTTATTTATGCATGCAATTAATAAATTTGAATTCAAATTAGTTTTGGGCATAATAAGCAATAGTAGACCAGCTACTACTATACCATACACATTGGCGAGAGCTGCAATAGGGCAACACCACCACAACCGCCCATTGTAGCAGCTGTTGCTGTTGCTGTAACTATTGCTATTACTTTCCCGGCGGCCATCCTGCCATCCGGCCATCTAGCCATCCTGCCAATATTATACAAATTTCGCTTCGTTGCTGTTGTAGTTGCAGTTGCAATTGAAATTGAAGTTGAAGTTAAAATTAGAATTAGAATTTTGTGGTTCTCATAGCTGTGGAGCTGTGGAACTACACTGGCATTCTGTACAATTGCTACTGCTACCATTTCCAATGCGTTTGTTGAATCAACAATTTATATTTTATTTGGTCGACGGTCGCTGGTCGACGGTCGTCGGTCGTCGGTCGCTGTTGCTGTTACTGTTGCTGTTGCTCCTTCCTGTAGTTACCAGCTATCGCCATTGTTTCTTGCCAGTCTTTCGAGAGCTTTATTTGTACATTTTGTGCATTTTATGTAATTTTCCATTTCAATTGCAATTGTGCACTTTAAATTTAAATGTTGTAGACAATTTTCTCTCTTTAGCACTGCTCTGAGGTCTTCGATATGAACTTCCACATTAATTTCCCATTGTATGCTGTACCCTGACGCGGGAGGGCATTCGAAATTTTCCCAATTAATTAAATACAAAATCAGCAAAAATGACTCTATGCAGGCGGCACCGAAATAAATTACATTCGAGTATTTAAATTTCCAAAAAAAAGCATATAAGAAAAAATTTTCCCGAAATTATTTGAAGTCATTTTGTAATGGAATGTTTACTCTTATTAATGGCACAAAAGAACAGTAGAAGTAAATATTTCGAAGAATGTATTCTGAAATATATAAAAGAAGGGAAAAGTTAATTTCATCAGTAAAACTGACAAACGCATAGATGGCGATTTAATTTGCTCTATTGTGTTCGTAGGACAAATTATTGGAGAAGTAGTTTTTCTTTTTCACTAATATTATTCACGACTTTGAATACGATTCATTGACGTAACCTGTACAGATGATGATATACTTCGGTTTATTGTGTTCTTGAGTTAGGTCATTATCTCTCTGATATCCTTTATTAAAATAATTTGTGACTGTGAATATAATTCAAAAACGACATACGGACAGATGATGATGTACTTTCATTTTATTATTGTGTTCTGGGTTCGGTTATTATCTCTCTGATATTCTTCAATCAAATAATTTTCCACATAAAATAAAGTTTCAAAAACGTTAGATTCTCTAGATGTCTACATAGATGTCTACAACTCGGTGCTTGATATTGTTAGACTGAAATCTTCAAAAGCTTACTTCTATTAAGAAGCTTACATTTTTTCCTCCAACGTTTAGCTTATATTATATATATAGCAACATATTTCCATTATTATAAAATTTCATATTTCTCTCAGGTTTTCCAATGACTGCGAATAACAAATATGATGAAAAAAACTCCCAGTAACTCTTATATTCTTCATTTTGATAAAATCGCCAATTCTCCCTCATTTTCATAATTATAACTCCCGCGTTGTAGTATTCGTCACTCGACATCTTCAGTTTTGTGAAAGTTGCAATAAAAATTTAAATTAAAACGATTTTTATCCGAAAAATCAGAGCATATGGCAGTCAGCAGACTCCGCTGATGTGAAAATAGTCGCGTGTCAGTACGTTGATTCCAATGAATTTCGATACGCAACTGCTGGTCGCAGTTCTGCGCTCATCTTCTCGATGGAATTAAAGCATATCAATATGCTAATGACTTCCTCGAGTCAGTCACTGGCACAGAATGTGCCACATCCAAAGTCACACACTACGAAAGTTTTTGCTGAAATCTTGACAGAAAAAGATTAAACAAAAAAAAATTATAAGAAACATTAACTTCAACTCGTAATGACAGCAAAATTAAATTGTTCCAGACAAGCCAACGTAGGGCCAATTTAATACATAAAAACTTATAAAATTTTATTAAAGATGTATCTTTCATTTAATTCTACTCTTCTTCTTTTTATAATTTTCTTTCAATTACAATTTAAAAAAAAACTTACCAAAACTGCTGCCTTTTTTCGAAATCTCAGTTTAAAATTAGAAAAAAACCTAATTTGAGCAAAATTGGATATAAAAAAAAATGATTGGCCGCGCCAATTTAAAAAAATTTAAATTAATTGCGTCTAATTAAAGGTTTTTTTCTCTTTAATTAAAAAATATTTAGTTCGAATCTTAACAATTATTTGAACGTAAATGACTTTACCAGATAATTAAGCTCACAGAGAAACGCTCCTCGAGAGATCTCTGAAAAGTAACTTTGAGACTTTCTGTTCGTCCGCTTACAAGAACGCTGAACACCAGTACCAAGTGGTCCGCTCAGGTATGTATGAATCCCGTAAATTTGTTGTAAATGTTTTGTCCGTTGTTATATATAAAAACTATTAAATAATTGATTAAGAAATAATTAAATAATTAAAAAATAATTTAATTAGACTTTAAAATAAACCAAATGTTGTGATATTTGGACGTAGGTTGTATGCGAAAAATAGGTACTGTGTTTTTGCATGCGAAGAAAAGAATAAAAATGCAGCACCAGCGAAAGGTTTCAGAGTGACAACTTCGAATTAGAAGTTATACCTTTAAATTAAAATAAATATGATAATTATTGCACATTATTAAATATCTAACAAAAATATCTTAGACAACAGAAGCTGCATAACTACTTAAGTCAATAATAATTAGAAAAAATTATAGATAAATATTTTGCATAAAACCAAACTGAAAAACTGGAAAGAAAAAAAATTAAATTAAAATTAATAAATAATTTTTATTATACATATATAATATATATTATTTAATATAATACATGAATTTATTTTTGCAAATTCTGTACACAAGTTTTTAAATTAATTATCGAATTTTTGTCTTCAGTATATTAAATTTTGAATTTATTTCTCGACCTGGTTTTTTTAATAACATTTTTTAATAATTTTTAATATGTTCTACATTTCTCGACTCTCCTTGAGAGTCATCATCAAAATCATGATCTAACATAAATTAATAAAATAATCAAATCTATATCTAAACGTCATATTGCACTATAGAGAACGAAAACAAGAGCATGACGTTTAGATATAGATATTATTAATATTAATTTTTGTTAGATCCTGGTCCTCATGATGACACAAAGAGTGTCGAAATATAGAACATATTAAAAAATATATAATTAAACAAACGTTTAATTTTTATTTTAACAAAAAGTAACCTATAGCCGGATTTATCTTTAATATATATATTTATCTTTAATATATTATATATATCTCATACATTTATATATATTTTAAATGTCTTATATATATATATCTCATATATTTATATTTATCCTAATTCAAATACCAATGTAACCGATTGGTTAATTTTTGCCAAGCTTTAAATATTTTCCATTTACTTTTTTAGTTTCACATGCAATGGAAATAATAAAAATTTCTATAGCAAGTTTATTGCAATTTTTTCTCAAGTTCGGTATAAATGTATAAGTACAAGTAAAAACACTAAAAAGCAAAATATATCGAACTTGCCAAAAACTTTGCGGTGTAGCCTGCAGAGTGCAGATAACATCTAACTCATTAAATCAGTATCAGTAAGCTCGTGATAAGTGCTTTACTTAAATATTGAGATATGTTCTTGATGGTAATAAATAATAGAAGTATTAAAACTGAACTCAGCAATTCGTTATACAGTGAATAACAAAGTATAATTAATTTCTAAATTAATATAATATAATTATGTATAATATATATAATATAATTAATTTTTAAATTTTATAATATCAAGCACAAATCACAAGACCCTAAATTTAAAGATCTAAATAAGCCTGAGTTGAACTGTAACTGACATCAACTAAGTATAATACTCTTTAGACTTAAGTTCAAAAGACAAATCTTCAGAAATTCTTTCGGAATACCAATAAATAGTTTACTGTCATTATCTTAAATTGATCAAATAGTCGTAGATGATAGTAGTTATTAATTACATTACTATATCGCCTATAAGTTCTCAACAGTTGAAAGGCATATTATAAACTAAAATACATTTTACAAGAAAATAATAAAAAACAGCACTTGAAAAAAAAATCTTAAATAGGACATAAAAAGAACTATTCAATAGCTCTTTCCAAATTACCTTTCTCATGTCCTCATATTCTTTAAATATCGCTCCTTTAATATTTTCCATTAGTGGCTCGCAATCATTTCATTTAAAGAGACCAAAAATACCATAAATTACCAGGACACAAGAATTCGATTTGATTTTAAGCAGATCACCCGAATGTACGTCGCAGTGATGATATATCCAGAGAAGAAGCTGAAGATCTATTAGTTAGGCATGAAAAAATTCTAAATAATGTTTAAACACATTATTTAAAAATTATAAGAAAAAATTTAAGAATGTTACAAATATTGAATTAGTTTAACAGATTTGAGAAAATCAGAAATTCACAATCGCAATTAGACTGCTAAACTCCATAAGCAGCTTATACCACTTAACAGCAATCTATTTAAAGTTATGACTAGGACTTACAATGCACACTTAGAATTCCGTGCACCTTTTAATTACATTTCTTTTATAATAGAACTCAAAATTCTACATTTCATTACCAATTTTTAATGCTCCTTAACATTAAGAAGAATTACCATCTTATTATTATTCCCACCAAAGGTA